TACATGCTCACATCTGGACCAAACTGTACATGTAGGATGAGAGTCCCGCCCTGAACACATGTACATGCTGACATTCACCCACAGTCATAGCGCCACCTGCTGGCAACAGGAAGTGAATTTTAACGAAGCAGCCCCCGCCGCACGTTTTACCTACGTGCACGAATTTTCTGTGGTACGTGTATCTTGTCCAGACGCACAAAAAAGTCTCTTGGAGCCATAGCCTAAACCCAACAGGAAGTCGGCCATTTTGAATTTTACGTCAAATTTTGGATGATTTACACACTTCGTACTTTAACGAACTCCTCCTAGGGATTTAGTCCGACCGACCTCAAATTTGTGCTGTGCCTTCTAAAGGCATTGAAGATGAAAAGTTGTGCTATTTGCAAGTTTTCGTCAATGGGCGTGTCCGTGGCGTGGCGTCAAAGATCAACTCTTCGCCATGACACGGGAGTTGTCGTAACTTCAGTGTACATGCTCACATCTGGACCAAACTGTACATGTAGGATGAGAGTCCCGCCCTGAACACATGTACATGCTGACATTCACAGACAGTCATAGCGCCACCTGCTGGCAACAGGAAGTGACTTTTAACGAAGCAGCCCCCGCCGCACGTTTTACCTACGTGCACGAATTTTCTGTGGTACGTGTATCTTGTCCAGACGCACAAAAAAGCCTCTTGGAGCGATGCCCTAAAATCAACAGGAAGTAGGCCATTTTGAATTTTACGTCAAATTTTGGATGATTTACACACTTCGTACTTTAACGAACTCCTCCTAGGGATTTAGTCCGACCGACTTCAAATTTGTGCTGTGCCTTCTAAAGGCATTGAAGATGAAAAGTTGTGCTATTTGCGAGTTTTCGTCAATGGGTGTGTCCGTGGCGTGGCGTCAGAGATCAAGTCTTCGCCATGACACAGGAAGTTGTTGTAACTTCAGTGTACATGCTCACATCTGAACCAAACTTTACGTGCTTGATAACTCTCCCACCCCGTTATGGAGGACCGATCCTGACACAGTCAGAAATAAATACAGAAATAAATAAATGCTCAATAAATAAATAAGCATCCAATTAAATACACAAAAAAATAAAGTAAATAAATAAATGTAGGTAGTAATTAAATTATACAAGGAGACATAAATGTATATATTTTAATTAGTGCCTTTACTATTCACCTTTGTTATAATTACCTTATTTGTTTATTCAACTTTATTTATTACAAATTTTTTTAATGTATTTATTTATGTGTGTGTTTTAATATTTTTGTCTGTTTTATTCTTCCTTTGTATTTATTTACCTTATTTATTTTCACCCATGGTATTTATTTCTGCCTGTCTTTTTTAAATTTTGTATGCATTTCTGCCTCATTATGCAAATGAGGAGGGGCTGTGTCTCAAGGGGTCATCTTCTCTGCTATTGGTGGACCAGTCAGACAGGAGAGCTCCTACTCTGCCTGCAGACATCAACGATCTTGCCCCTCACACAGTCAGATGGCTTCCTTCAGTGCGCTGAGGTGTTTAACAACTCTGAAGACAATACTACCAGCAATGTCTTCCTTCTCTTTTCACGTAGACGCTCCGACAGACGGTGCTTTCAGTTTGCTGCATGCATGGACACAGAACTGCGGTACAGCACACAGTAACGATGAAATGTGTGCTGTTCTCACATTCTTCCTCTGTATGTACACATAAACAACAAGGCAGGGAAATATAAAAGGAATTTATTTTATTGTTTGGGTACATTATTGTTCAGTGTACATGCTCACATCTGAAACAAACTTTACGTGCTTGATAACTCTCCCACCCCGCAGACATCTACACGCCAACACCGATTTATATTCATAGCGGCAAGTGCTATGTAGCTCCACATAGGGGACACAGGAAGTGACATATAACACCTTCATGCGGCGTCATAACCGCGTAGCAAATTCACAGCCGCACCGGCAGAGCTCCAGAATATGCAACTCGGCCGGCTCACACGCGGACGCGCTTATAAGTGCGAGGGCCCGCCCAACGCTGCTTGCAGCTTTAATGTTATTATTATATTTATTATTATCATTAACATTTGATTATTCTTAACATTAGTATAAATATCTTTACAATTACTCATTCAGTCTATAGCTTACATTACCTTTACTGTCTGTACCTCTGTGTGTATATTGTGTAGGCTGCGTAGCATGGCATCAAAAATTGATGATTCACCATAAAACAGGAAATTGTTATAAATTCAGTGTACATGCTCAGGTATGTTCCAAAATGTACATGTATGATAACAGTCCCACACTGAACACATCCATATGCCAACATTCACTCAAAGTCATAGCGCCACCCACTAGAAAAAGGAAGTGTCAAATTTCACGCTGTTATGTACTACTCCTAGCAGGTTGGCCGCACCCACCTCTAAACAGTCTCAGAAGAGCTTTAAGACATTGAAGATGCTCTGTTGTGAAGATTGTTGAGTTTTCGTGTAATGGCTAGTCCATGTTGTTGTTGTTTTTGTTGAAGTTCGATGCTTTTCCATCAAACAGGAAGTTGTTGCAATTCTTTGTACACACTCTGTACCAAATTTCATGTTTGATAAGGGTCACGCCCTGAACACATCTAAAGGATGGAATTTAATGGCAGCAGGAAGTGACCCTTCACACGATGCAGCCCTCACCTAGATGCATGAAACTTCTGTGGTACATGTATCATCCCAAGACGCACAAAAAAACCTTTTGAAGTCATACCCAAAACCTAACAGGAAGTCCTCCATTTTGATCTGAATGTGCAATTTCAGCCCATTTGCGGCTTTTACAGGGTCTGTACTTTAACAAACTCCACCCAGGGGAATTAATCGATCGACAACAAATTATTGCTGTGCAATCTTAAGGCATGGACAATGAGTGGGCGTGTCTGTTCTGCTCTGTTCATTTAGTTCTCAATGAGTCCTGTTATTTGTAGTCCCTTCTGTATTTGTTATTTAGTCTGTGTTTTGGCTCCATGTCTTAGTTCCCAGTTCGGTGTTAATGTCTTAGTATTTACTCCTGGTCCATGTACTTCAGTGTTTGTTATTTCGATCTGTTCAGTATCTGTCTTACAGTTGTTGAGTTTTGGGTTCGGCCCTGTCTGTTGTCCTTTGTCCAGTATCTGTATCTTGTCTGTTGTGTTTTGGTATTTCCCTTAGTTGCTGTTCTGTTCCATGTTTTGTATTCTTTTGTTTCCCAGTCGGTTCCGTCTCTGTTCCCTACTCCATTCTGTTAGTCTGTTGTCATGTTTCCTGTTTTGAGGTTCGGTTCCTGGTCTTGTGTTCTGTTAGCCCTGTGTCTTAGCTCCTAGTTCTGTGTCTCAGTTCATATCTTAGTGTTTACTTTTGGTCTGTGTACTTCTGTGTTATTTTGCCCTTGCCTGCTCTGTGTTCTCTTTAATCCCAGCTTCATTCTGTTTTCATTGTTGGTTGTAGTTCTTGGTGATCTGTCTGCTTGCGTCTTTATTAGTTTATTTTTATTCCTCTGATCTGTTATGTGTTCAGTAACCTGTGTCATGTCTGTTCCCCCTGTTATCACTCTGCATACAAGTCTCTCTGTTTTCCCATGCTCTCTCTCTGCCTGCCTGTGTGCCTCGTTAGCCTCATGTCCCTCACCTGTGTACCTCCTCCCAGCTCGTTAACCCTGTGTATGTACCCTTGCTTGTTTCCCTCAGTCTTTGTCCGGTCATTGTCACGTGTATGCTCAGTCGGTTGTTGTTTGTTCTGCAAGTTGCTGCATTACCTGTTCTGGGTTTTTTGATGTACCAGTTTCCCTGTACCTGTGAGTTTGGTTCATGCCTGTTTTGTCTTGCCCTGGATTAAATACCCTGTATCTCCGCGCTCTATGTCATGCATTTGGGCTCTCACCTGCTTTGCACACCCAGCGATCCTGACAAAAAGGTTGTGCTATATGTGAGTTTTTGTCAAAGGGCATGTCGGTGATGTGGCCTACAATATTGATGATTCGCCATTAAACAGGAAGTTTATTGCTTAACTTCATTGCACATGCTTAGATATGTACCAGACTTTACATGCTTGATAAGAGTCCTGCCCTGAACACATGTACATGCCAATATTCACTTAATGTCATAGTGCCGCCTAATAGCAACAGGAAGTAAGCCATTTCTAACAGAAATCATTTAATTTAAATGGCATTTTCGCAGCGTGGTCCACACTACTGGTTGTGTACTGGTACACAACATATAATTAGCTGGTATTGTTTAGCGCCACCTAGGGGACACAGGAAGTGATGTTTAACTCCTTCATGACCAGTCCAAAATGTGTGATAGGTCTACCGACATCTGTCCCCTGCGCCACGGCTGCGTCAGGCTCAAGACGTGTGTCACGGTGTGAGGGCTTGTCCAACACTGTTGCAGCTTTAATCATCATTAATATTGTTGTCATCATTAGTACCAATCTTTATTTTCATTGATGTCTGTACCAATACCACCTTTACTGTTCTTTAGCATTTCTGTGTGCATATTGCGTTGGCTGCTGCTATCTCTCTCTCTCACTTCCTCCCTCGAGCCTAGGGTTCTGTTCAAGGTTTCTACCTCCTAAAAGGTGGTTTTTCCTTGCCTGGCACCAATTGCTTGCTCATGGTAGGAACTGTTGGGTCTCTGTAAATAATATTACAAAGAGTACGGAATAGATCTGCTCTTGATGGAAAGTGCATTGAGATAACTCAACTTCTGATGAATTGGTGCTATACAAATAAAATAGATAAATTGAATTTAGCATTCATGGCTATTTAAATAACATGCAGGAAAGGTAGACCCTGCCACTAACAATAAAAACTGCTTTAAAGACAGGTAATTACAGCATCTCAATTAATTAGTTTATTTCTTCTTTCTATTAGTGAGACAATGCTAAACACTATCAAAAATAGGGTATGATTTTAGGATTATAACTTTAAAAAGGTCAAAATACAATAACAGACACAGTGACTGTGTATGCTTTGTTTTGGATGCAGGATGCTTTTGGTGTGGATTACTTACTGACTTTGGTTGCAACCACAGTAATATTGTACTGCACAGTTGTCTCTCTGTCCAGGTATTCATTAGTGGAAATGGTTCCTTCAACGGTGTCAATGTCAAAACAGCTGTCAGACTCTGCGTGCCATTCCAACGAATACCTGCAAAGATAAGAGCACATAATAGGGAAATAAGTTACCATGGTGGGCTGGGTCCTCAAAGGACATATATAGATTTCAGAAATGTGCTCACTCCAGCATTGAGTTAAAGGGTTTTTCAGAGGAGAACCCAGTACCTGGGTGTCTGTGGCTTAAGGAGTAGAACAGTTGTTTACTTATCAGAATTTCAGTGGTTTGATCCCTGCGTCCCCCACTCTGCATATAAAATTTTGCAGCCACCAGCCTACGGATCACGATTCATCATGAACGGCACCTGCCGATTGCCAAGAATAATTCTTAGGGGAGCTTTTCCACCAAAGATTTTGCATCTCATAATAATGGGCACCTGAGGACCACACATAGCCTAACCTGCTCCGCCACCACGTGTTGCAGTGGATATTATCTTTCTGAGAGGCCGTCCTGAATGATCTTCAGAATTTAAGAACTAGTCTTATGTTTAAGTCTCAGAGAAATTAAATTTATCACCTCAGATTTGTTCGTCTTCCCTGGTATCCTTTTTGCTATTGCCAAACTGAACATTAATCAAAATTATTAGTTTAGCATTAGCATTAGTTTAATTCATTTTCATGTTAAAAAACATTTAGCTATAAATAAATGCAAATGTTGTCATATACACTACTGTTCAAAAGTTTGGGGTCACTTAGAAATGTCCCTATTTTTGAAAAAAAAGCACTGTTTTCTTCAATTGAGATATCAGAAATACAGTCTAGACATTGTTAATGTGGTAAATGACTATTGTAGCTGGAAGCGGCTGACTTTTAATGGAATATCTACATAGGTGTGAAGAGGCCCATTTCTAGCAACAATCACTCCTGTGTTCTAATGGTACATTGTGTTAGCTAATCGTGTTAAAACGCTAATTGATGATTACAAAACCCTTGTGCTATTATGTTAGCACAGCTAAAAACGTTTGTGCTGATTAGAGAAGCTATAAAACTGGCCTTCCTTTGAGCTAGCATCGCATTTGTGGGTTTGATTATACTGTCAAAATGGCCAGAAAAAGAGAAACTCGACAGTCTATTCTTGTTCTGAGAAATGAAGGCTATTCCATGCGAGGAATAGCTAGTTTGAGAATAGACCCCTCACAGGTCCTCAAATGGCAGCTTCATTAAATGGTACCCGCAAAATGCCAGTCTCAATGCCAACAGTGAAGAGGCGACTACGGGATGCTGACCTTCTAGGCAGAGTGGCAAAGAAAATGCCATTTATGAGACTGGCCAATAAAAGGAAAAGATTAAGATGGGCAAAATAACAGACATTGGACAGAGGAAGATTGGGAAAAAGTGTTATGGACAGACAAATCTAAGTTTGAGGTGTTTGAATCACACAGAAAAACATTTGTGAGACACAGAACAAGTGAACAGATGCTGGAGTGCCTGATGCCATCTGTCAAGCATGGTTGAGGTAACGTGATGGTCTGGGGCTGCTTTGGTACTGGTAAAGTGGGAGATTTGTACAAGGTAAAAGGGATTTTGAATAAGGAAGGCTATCTCCATTTTGCAATGCCATTCCATACCCTGTGGACAGCGCTTGATTGGAGCCAATTTCCAGTCATTGTCAACAGGACAATGACCCAAAGCACACCTCCAAACTATGCAAGAACTATTTAGGAAAGAAGCAGTCAGCTGGTATTCTGTCTGTAATGGAGTGGCCAGCGCAGTCACCAGATCTAAACCCTATTGAACTGTTGTGGGAGCAGCTTGACCATATGGTACGTTAGAAGTGCCCATCAAGCCAGTCCAACTTGTGGGAGGTGCTTCAGGAAGCGTGGGATGAAATTTCTGAGCCGGCCGAGTTGCACATTCTGGAGCTCTGCCGGTGCGGCTGTGAATTTCCTACGCGGTTCCGACGCCGCATGAAGGTGCTATATGTCACTTCCTGTGTCCCCTATGTGGAGCTACATAGCACTTGCCGCTATGAATATAAATCGGTATTGGTGTGTAGATGTCTGCGGGGTGGGAGTTATCAAGCACGTAAAGTTTGTTTCAGATGTGAGCATGTACACTGAACAATAATGTACCCAAACAATAAATAAATTCCTTTTATTTCCCTGCCTTGTTGCTTATGTGTACATAGAGAAGAAGAATGTGAGAACAGCACACATTTCATCGTTACTGTGTGTTAGAGCATGGGAGAACAGTGGATACTTTTAATACAGCCCACACCCCTAATACTGTGTAACTATAACAAGTAGAGAACAGAAGAAAAAGATGTTTTTCTTTACAACTGTCTGCATAGCTTATTCATATTGTGTAATGAATGAAAATAATAGGCCTACTAGGCTCCTCTCTACTTTGACATTTAAGATTAGCTTGTTTGATCCACCTTCATACACATGTGACATTACTGTACAACTGAGAAAGGTGAGTGTTTTCTGCTCCAGCCTGCCTAAAAGAAAGCGTTTTGGGGATTAAATGGACTTTATTAGCTGCTGCAGTGCAGGATGAACTCAGAACAGACCCATTTCTCACCTTATTATTCTAAATCATGCAACGAAGAAGAAATGCATAATAAATCCTGGGACAAAATCTGTCCACAAATACTGTACAGCATGTAGTCTGATGAACAAGACTTGTGTTATAGCTGACTTGGGCAGTGAAATGTTTAATTTTTAAATTCATGTGGTCATAGTTGTCCACAACTCAAATCAGAATATAAGAAATGTTTATACCACCTGAAGAAGGCTTCCTATCAGAAAGGTAGGAAGGTATTTCAAATGTACAACTGCAGTACTTAAATCTAAGTAAAGTAATTTCCCTGACATTACTGTGTTACTTTACTTTTAATAGACGCATGTAACAGGTTTTATACTTCCTGTGAGTATAATCCAATCAATCTTATTTCATACTGTATATCCGTTGTGTAATTTGATAAATTGTTGTATGTCGTGCTCGCACGCATCTCAGAGAAGACTCTGACTGCAACATGCGTCTTTGTAAAGAGAGAAACGGACAGAAAAAGTCTCTAACTCTGCCTGTCAGCTCGCTCTGCTCCGTTAAAACTGAATTTACCATACAAATTGAATACGAGTGCACTCCAGATTTAGCTGCAGCCAGCTGACCGTGTGCTTCTCTCTATACCGACAGTTCTGTGTCCATGCATGCAGCAAACTGAAAGCACTGTCTGTCGGAGAACGTGAAAAGAGAAGGAAGCATGGCTGGTAGTGTCTTCAGAGTTGTTAAACACCTCAGCGCACTGAAGGAGCTGACGACTGTGTGAGGGGCAAGATCGTTGATGTCTGCAGGCAGAGTAGGAGCTCTCCTGTCTGACTGGTCACCAATAGCAGAGAAGATGACCCCTTGAGACACAGCCCCTCCTCATTTGCATAATGAGGCAGAAATGCATACAGAAATTTAAAAAGGACAGTAAGAAATAAAAGAGAAAGAAAATAAATGGTAAATAAATACAAAGGAAGAATAAAACAGACAAAAATATTAAAACACACACATAAATAATTACATTTAAAAATTAGTAATAAATAAAGTTGAATAAACAAATAAGGTAATTATAACAAAGGAATAAGTAAAGTAATATATCTTAGCAAATTCATAGGGACCACACACGGTCGTGCTCGGCCCTAAAATCAGTATTTCTAACCTCATCAATGTCTTGACTATAT